ATATACATATGAAAAAGACAGTCTACAAAATTTTGAGACATACATGCATACATACATACATATATAAAGAGCAACTCATATATTAGTGGATCGAACTTCACGAACTTAGGTAGCATGACAACGGACTGTGAGCTGTAGAGGTAAGAGTTAATGTTAATGATTACTGAACTATAAAAAACTGCATTTCTAATTTCTAAATTTTTTCTTGCAAAAGTTTTATACTAAATTTTAAGGTAAATGCGGTACTAACATCAAATTTCTTCTTCATCTCTTTAGTTCAAGTTGTTGTAACTTTCACCCTTTGAATTTAAGATAAAAAATATTCTGAAGAATAAACCCAAAAAAAATCAAATATTTTTTTTTGATAAGGAGGCAGTTGGGATTTAAGGCACGAATATTTTGGTTTTTTTTTCTTGCACTAAAAGGCAATTCCATATGAATGTTTGTGTTGTACTTGAACAAAATTTTGATTTTTATTAAATTCGTTTAAAATAGTTTTCTGTACTTTTTTATGTTCGTTCTGAATACATTTTTTTTAATTTTCCTAACAAGAAAGAGCGGCAATTTGCATATAAACACCAAAAATTTATTTGGCTACTAACTTTTAAATGAAATAAATAAAGCAGAATATTTGCGAACATTTGAATTTATGCAAAGGCAGATATTTACACATACATTTGTCTTGATGTTTGTATGCGTGCACAAGCAACATGGCAGTGAGCACACATACTTACATATGCATATATATACATATTTGTTCATACGTACAATTTATTTTCGGTAGCACATGTTTTTCGTCACTTAAACGTCAAGCGTTGTTTTTTTCTTATCGCTAGCAGTGAAGCTGTATGTTGTATGCTATATGCTATATGCTGAGTGCCATGTTTGTGTTTATGTGTATATGTGTAATTATTGTGTTTGCATAACTGTATATGTAGTCTTTTCTGTTTTTATTATTGTTTCTATTTTTTTAATGAAATTTCGCTGTTGTTTTTTAGTAGCCTAGCGTTATGGCCTGGTCTGGCCTTGTTCTCGATGCTTTGACTTGCTATACTTGCTTGATGTCGCCGCTACGGCCACTGCTGCCACTGCTGTTATTGCTTCGTTGATTTTTGCCATCGTTCACAGTTGCTTTGTTTTTCCTTTTTTTTTTATCCTGTGCATGTTGTTGTTGTTATTGTTGTTGAGTTTGGCGCTTCTATGCATGTTTGTATATATAGTTTTGTTTTTGTTATTTTTTTTTATTTTGATGCTGAGTATGTGGTTGCTTTGCTGTTTCGCACTGGCACTGCTGCTGCTGGCTGATGTTGCTGCTCTGTGTATTGCTGTGTACCCAAATGATGCATGTCAATGCACTCGAGCGTATCAACTGAATTTGTTTCACTCACCTTACCTCAGTTAACGTTTATTTTTTTCACTCTTTTTTTGTTTGGATTCTTTACCCCTTTTTAATCAGTATTTTTGCTATTCGTACTGTTGTTGTTGTTTTGTTTCTATTAGTGCTGAAAGGTTCCACTGTCGTCTTCATTTCGTTTCGTATCGCTACGTTTTCTTTTTTTTAACATTTTAAGCACTTTGCCATTACATTTTTTATATAGCACATATATTTTCTTATTTTTTGTTTTTTTTTTTGTTTTTCTTTTTTTCTTATAAATATATAAATCTTTTTTTGCCGTTCTGCTTTTTAGTTTTTCTGCTCCATGATTTTCTGCTTTTTGCTTCATGATTCTATGATGTGTGTAAAGTTATATGTTTCTTCCACGTTCTCATGATATATGTATGTGTATCTGCACACACATATATAGTAGCTAAATGCTGCTGCAGAGTTTTGTCTGTGCTAAACTGTTTCGCTTACTTTTATGTTCCTTACAAATCTATGTACTTGTTGTTATTTCACTCTTAGGTTATACTAATATTTCAGGCGTATGTGTTTATATGTACATATATTTGCACATATATAGTTTTAATTTCAAAAATTTTTATGGTTTCGTGGAAAATTATGAACTCACGGATTTTTCATTTTATTTTATTTCAAATTTTACACACACACATAAAATTCTTAGAAATCTACACTCACATCCACATGCACACCCATGAAAGTAAAGCCTGAAGTGCATTGCGGAACCACTACCATCTTTAACCCACTCGTGCCGCATTTTTTGCTACATAAATTTTCCAATGTTTCTTGTGGAGCGTAATTATTTCGCGCTCCTTACGCTTGCTGTAAAACGGTTTTAATTGTGCGCTACATTCTTGGCTTTTTACGTCTCATGTCGCCAAACAAGCGACACATTTGGTCTAAGCATGAATGCGTTTGTGCGTGTGTGCGTTTTTGCGTTGTAGCGTGCGGGTTGCACTTAATGAAACTGAAAATTGCGTTAAATGCAATTTTATTTTTGCAATTTATTTTTGCTAGCATTTTATTTGTAATTTGTTAAACTAATATAAGCCGCGTACAAAGACGCATACTATTTGCAGGCAAACGCAACATTTACGCAAGCATTTAATGTCCTTAATGCTTAAATGCGTTTCACGCTTATTACTTCAAATAACTCAACAGTAATTGGAATGTTTAGAATTGAGTCGAAACAGTTGGCAAAGCGTACCTAACAAAATGATTCGCTGACAGTTCAAGACGAGTATAAGATGCGGGCTATTATTCTACTCTCCACTCCGGTTTCAAATTACCTGTCATCATTTCATGTATTTTCCCAACTTTGGTTGCATACTCAAGCTACACTGACAGGACTGATGAATCTTGAAATGAAGAATACCAGAAAGGCATCTGGCATCTGCGTTTTTGATTTCATATTAAGTACGCTTACATATTTCACAAAGAATGTGGTAACTTCCCTTTCGATGAGCATCCAATTATATATAAAAATTAAAAATTTATATATTCTGCAACAAATTTTTAAAATAAAAATTAAATTAATGAATTTAAAGCACGGCAAGTGCTTTGGTTGGTGTCACTAATTAAATAAAAATAAGTGACAAAACCTGGAATTTGAGCATTGAAAGTTTGTGCAGCCTTGGCTATTTGTGGATAAACACGATTAGTCATCGCTTCTAATTTGACAGGCACAAGTTCTAAGCCTGGCACTTGCAGTCCAAAACAAATTATATACGGACTATAAACTAATTAAATAAAATTCGATTATTTCCAAAGACCACTGATGAAGAGTGCTTGGCAATACTCGAAACAGCGTTGTATGGTCAGCCAAATTTCAATAAATTAAAAATAAAAAATTATTGTCTTTGTCCTTTCTTTGCTATTCGAATCTGTCTAACTTTTAAATAGTTTATTTCGTCATAAAAAGACACGCCATTATCGGCGAGAAAAAATTGACCTTAAATCCATGATATGTTGAACAAAGTAATGCAATAACATTATTTGAAATTGCAAACAAGATTTTTTGACAATTTAAAAGTAATGCCTTGGACCTAGGGTACAAAAAACGTCTAAAACGTACACTTCCAACCTACTTAAATATTAAGTATTAACACATTATGAGTGGGGCTCATAATGTAACAAATATATGACTACGTCTCACTTAAAATTACTTATTTTAAACGGATACTGATACCTGTCCCGCTTATAAGTGCCAATCCTCGCATTAAGTTACCATATAAAATCTTAAAGGTATAAAATTCACATTTAAATTGCTTTTTAGGAAACTAGAAGTCCTGGAACTAGACAATACCCTCAAGAAAGGAAGCCACTGACCGAAGTCGTAATTGCTTCTTAGGGTGAGGCCCTATCTCTATGGCGTGGAACTCAAAGTTGAGAAATATTACATTGTATTGATATCTTGTTAAAAAATATATAGAAGTTAAGAACCGCCATAAATATAAATTGTACGGAAGTCAAAGACTGCAAAGTGGCTGTAAATATATTATCCAATTAAAGACAAACTATTTGTTCAATCCTTCCTAGGAAATTTCACTGTCTACACCAATAACTATTTCAGATATTGCAAAAGTTTAAACCATCTTCTAATAATGGGCTTCCCGACAACCCGGCATCTCTAGATGAAAATGGACATTAAATTTTTTGTCAAAATTAAAAACAAAAGAGATGCAGTCAATATTTTTTAAAATATAACTGATAAGATTAACAATAAAACCGTAACCGTAGTCACAAGTCTCTTATTGTTAAATAAACTTATTGCTTTAAGTCTAACAGTAGATGATTCTTCCACATGTTTAATTATGAGAACAAGCGGCATTAAGTGAAGTATTAGGTGCAACGCAATGGATGGTGTTATATTCAATACACCACTTATACAGAGTTCAACGCTACGCCGCGTTCTGTTACCATTCAATAATGAAGGTTTGTCTTAGACCGTTAATGGCACCGTAATGCCGTACAACAGTATAGATTTTATGACAGCCATATATAGCCACTGAATTTTAAGTCGCCAGCTTATTGGAAAAGAAAAAGCGCAATATTGGCTTTCGTAGCGCGTTGATTTATATTTTACCTCCAACTAAGTTAACAATAAAATTAACAAAAACAATCAAATTAAAATTTAACTTTCTCCGTTAATTGCAGCATAGAAACATTTTAATCTCAAAGTTATATTTTGCTGTACATTTGTTCAGGATATCAAAACCAAATATTCTATAGACTGGTAACACATTTACTGGTAGCTACTAACGCAATATCATCCGCATATGCTATAGTTTCGCGGTCTTCTATTCTTATTTGTAATAGCAGTTCATTCATTGCTGTTCTAGAGGAGCAGAAAGAGGCCGCTACCTTGAAACATATCCATAGCTAGCCGTCTGTGTGCTGTTGTTAAAACTGTGGCTAATAATAATTTGTCTTTTTTTAGTTATTGAATTTAAAATTTATATATATTTCAAAAATTCTTTTATAATCCGTTTTTATATAATTACAAACACTTAATACCGTTAAAACGTCACATATTGACAAATAATTTTCTTCATAATGTATTTAAATTTAAACTTTTTAGTGAAAGTATGAAATTACTTACCGGTATGTTGGTTTTGGATTAGCATATGCCACACATGGTACTACAACTGGATCCCCTAATCGAGCTGTGACGGTTATCACTTTTTCATTCATTATTGGTGGAACAAGTTCCCGCATTTCTGCAAGTTTAACAAAGCGTGAATACAACAAATACAACAAAAGTGCACAAAAATAAAATATTTTTTAATAATTAATTAATTAAAACTTATTATTCCAAAATAAGTGTATTAAAATTGTGCGCCATAGTAGCACAATTTGTGTTATAACACACAAATGTTTTCGTTTATAACCTCAATTTACATACCGATTACTTAGCCCTACGGCCACACAACGACCCACTTACCAGTTAATTGAATTTTGCCTACGTTGCTACTGACAACAGAGTCCTGCGTCAGCTTATGATGAGTCCGGCAGCGATAAATTTTATGCGCATCGGTGCGCGTAATATTGTACACCAGAAGTTCCCCGGTTGGCAACATATGATTTTTGCCATCTTTGTCATCATGATTGGGACCCAAAAATTAATGCAAAGAAACGAAAACGTTATTTATTAAAAAATATATTCCCAGTTGAAATTTTAAATGAAAAAGTAATGGAAATTATTAAGTGAATATTTTACTCATATATATATATATATATATATATATATATATCTATATACAATTGGTGTTGTTGGTATAAAATATGTGTATGAGAAATTGTCATCGAATGGACACGCAAATTAAGGACCACAAATTCGTAAAGGTAAACCATAAAACCACAAAGAAAAATGCTTTCAATATATTTTTAATGATAAATTCTTTTTACAAACGACTTAAGCATTTTAATGTAGGCTTATTAAAATAAAAACAATAAAATGAAAAATCCTGCATTTTTTCTACCAATCAAAAATTTATTTATGGACGCTGAAAATTGATAAAATATGAAAAAAATTGACATAAAAAACATATAAAAAATTTAATCACATATAAATATTTAAAAAAAAAAAAATATTTAAAAAGACATTTAAAAAAAAATATTTAAAATGACATTAAAAAAAAATATTAAAAAAAAATATTTAAAAAAAATATTTAAAAAAAATATTTAAAAAAAAATGTATTAAAAAAAATATTTTAAAAAATATCTAAAAAAAATATTCATAAAAAATATTAAAAAAAATATTATATGAAAAAAATAATATAAAATATTACATGAAAAAAAATATAAAATATTAATAAAAAAAAAATTTTAATTAAAACCAAAACAGTTTCTGGATAAATTTTCAATGGACTCCCAAACCCCAAAAAACTCCCAAAAATAGTTGCCCCTTGAAAGTCAACTCAAACACGAAGTAAAAATATAAAAAATTATCAAAATTCATGTTACACAAATCCATATATCAACAATATATGATATTATTTTTATGCAGTTTCTGATGTAACTTAATAATAACAGAAGGATAAGGAATAAGAATCAAAACCCAAACTTTAAAAATAATGTCAAGCTGAGAGTATTATTAGAAAACCGAATTAAATCTGTAAGAATGCAGTCACACAATAAAGATAATGACAGAACACACAATATGTGAGTTTATTAAATATCAAGTTTTAGAAAGACATTTTCCCCATCTATGTCTTCACTACTTTTATACCACGTTATCCTCTAGAAAAAATACACAATAATTCGCTTATTAGACCAAGATCAGATTTGTATTAATACAAATCTTATATATAGATAATTTATTTGTCGGGTTCCGATTCACATGTTTCTGTCACTTTCTTTCTGAGAAGAATCGAATTCGTTGGTCTTCAGTTAGTTGAGTCGCATGCTGTTTCAATTAGATAAGATTTTTGGGACTAGTTAAGGAATGTTAGTTGCACTGATACCATTGTTGTAGTTCAGGCCATAAACTAGGATATAGCCTAGTTTAGTTTTCTAATTAACGACAACATTACCTTAATGACAGTTAGGTTAACATGATATATCTCATAGGTTGAGGTGTGCCATTATCCCTCATATAATAATATATAAACTCGTATGTTCAAGGATCAAACACCAAGTAGCTTATTCTTTCAAAAATATATATCTATATTTCGAAAGGTGTGGCGTCTCATTGACTTTTTCTTTATTTTTTCGATTACAAGGTTTATCTTTATTTATAGCACAGAGATAAAATTTAAAAAGGTTAATATTATTAGATATCTTACCACCCTCTAGTGATGGATATATATTAAAATTAGGTTCTTGTAGCCATGACGTCACAGTAACATATTCCTTAACAAAGGATGGTATATTGCATTTAATAAGCACGTTGCTACCAATAAATCCTCCTGGATTTTGTACTTCCGGTTCATAGCGTTGATTGACAACTGCAAGTATAAGATTTAGAAAGTCATAAATATATATATTAAAAATGTTGTATATATAAGTAAAAAATATAAATACACAAGTTGAAAATTAAAGATTTAAAAAATATCAATAGGTTGATGCTAGAGATGAAGAATACTGTGAATCAAATTATGAATTATGCGCGTTCATTTACATATTCAGTACTTCCTACTATTTATAATTTGTACCAATACTGACAATTCTAAACAATAATTTCTTAAAAAAAATATATAATAAGTTTTGGAAAAATAGTGAATTGCAACCATTAAACATTTTTATTTATTTTAATTAATCAAATTTTTGTCTGACCATACAGTTGTTTTGAGTATTGGATCAGCCACCATCCACTGATGATGGCTCTTGGAATTATTTATTGTATTTAATTATTTGTTGATTTATTTCTAAGACTGCAAGTACAAAGAGTTGAACTAGTAGCCTGCTAAATTTAAAGCTCAGAATCAGTGTTTATTAGCAAACTAACCCAAAGCTGTACTTGACTTATATGTTCAAATTTGAAGTTTTGTTAATTTGCTGTGAAAGTTCATTAACAAATTAACTTCAACAATTTAAATAATTAATTATAAGTACTTTTAAATATTAAATTTTAGTACTATACTTTTATGGACGTATTATTTATTGTATGATTTTATCTTATTTTTCTTGTGTTTATTCTTCTGATATCGATTACATTGCTATCGTGATTATATCGTATAATCACATATATAATACAAAATATTATATCCATTCCATTCCAAAAGTATCAGTATTTAATTAAATTTTAATGATAGTATAAAAAAAAATAAAATAAAATAAAATAAAATAAAATAAAATAAAATAAAATAAAAATAAAATAAAATAAAATAAAATAAAATAAAATAAAGTAAAATAAAATAAAATAAAATAAAATAAAATAAAATAAATAAAATAAATAAATAAATAAAATAAATTAAATAAATAAAATAAATAAATAAATAAAATAAAGAAATAAATAAAACAAAGAAATAAATAAAATAAAGAAATAAATAAAAAGAAATAAATAAAATAAATAAAATAAAGAAATAAATAAAATAAATAAATAAAATAAAGTAAAATGTGATAAAATAAAATAATAAAAAAAAATAATATAAAAATTAATAAAATTAAATAATATAAAATGTGATAAAACTAAAAATGTGATAAATAAAATATAATAAAAAAATAAAATAAAATAAATAATAATATAA